ATCATCCACAGTCTCTAGCAAGAGCAGAGGAACAAAGGACTTTGCCCTGTTCCTGCTGCACCCAAATATACATAGAGTTTCTGGGTTGTCTGGAGAAAGGACTGGCCCACTAGGCATCCAATGATCTGTATTGCTCAGAGGTGTGAAAACCTGGTGTTTGGGCATACACTCTTCATTGCTCTGTACTCAAAGCCTTGTCCAGGAGATGGTCTGCCCTGTGTGCTTGGAGTCTCTTCCAGGATGTCTCCAGCTTCCTCCTGGCTCCCACCCCCATAACAATGGTCTAGTTGGAGTATGCACAGTGAAAGCCCTCACACTCAGGCACTGATAAATCCGATTGCTTGATGGACCTATTTTGTCAGCACTCCATAGGCAAGTCTCCTGGCTCCAGTGTCCTATGGAAAGAGCGTAGAAGCTCCCAAGAAGGATCCAGGATCCATTATTACTGAACCAGTAATAATGACACAGTGGAGCTGGTGAGGATGGAGGTGATTCTCAGGCATGACTGTGTTCATGGGAAGGTGTAGAAGTTCCTTCTCTAGTCAGTCCATCCTAAGGGGAAGGTATACTGCTCAGTCCATGGGCAGGAGGAGCAGGTAATGCCTGCCTGTTCACTTCGCACCAGATGGGAAGTGGGGTGTTCAAGCTGGACATGGGAGCTGGGTAACTGTCACAGAGAGAGGGAGAGGGAAAGGGAGAGGGAGAAGAAGGGAGGGAAGGGAGGGAGGGAGGGAGGGAGGGACGGAGGGACAGAGAGAGAGAGTATTGCTTTGAGAATGTGCCTCTCACTATGTAACCCAAGCCAGTCTTGAACACCTGATTCTCCTAGCTCAGCCTCCCAGCTGGGATTATAAGTGTGGGCCACCATCCCTGACTAAGAGATGACCTCCTATCCTCTGAGCACCAGACTTTTTTTCTACACATCGTATGATCTACCTGTTTACTATCTATTACCCACTTAACCACCCAGCTGCCTCCCTGCCTATCTCCCCTGTGTATCTCGGTATCTACTTACTCATCTATATCTGTGTCAAGCATATGTCATTAAGGGAGACTCGCAGGCTTATGACTCGATTTTCAAAAAGATTTATTTTATTTTTATTTTAGGTGTATGGGTGTTTTGCTCACATCTGTTATATGCCTGCAGAGGCCAAAAGAGGACATCATCCCTCAGAAATGGAGTTACAGATAGATGGTTGTGAGCCACTGTGTGGATGCTGGGAATTGAACAAGGGCAGCCCCGAGCTCTTAACTGCTGAGCCATCTCCCCAGCACCACAGAACAATTTGTAAAGCCTAACAGTACATTTTTAAATCCATTTGTGTTCATAGTTAAATTATGTACATGTCATTTGTTTCATTTCCGAGACAGAGTTTGTGATAGTTTGATTGTTATTGTCAACTTGATGGGGTTTAGAATCACCATGGAAACACCATCCCTCTACCTTGGGCATGTATGTGTTTCTAGGTTGGCTGAATAAAGGTGGGCAGGTGACCCAGATGTGGGCAGCATCATTCATTCCATTGGCTGAGGTCCTGACTGAACGAAAAGGAGAAAGTGAGCTGAGCCCCAGCATCCCTCTCTTTCTGCTTCCTGACGGTGGATGCCATGTAATAGCTGCCCACGCTCCCGCCACCACGCCTTCCCCGTGATGGATGGCGTCCTCAGATTGTAAGCCCAAACAAACCCCTCCTGCCTTCAGTTGCTTTTGTTGGGAATTTTCAGCACAGCAACGAAACAGTAACTAATACCAAGTCTCACCATGTAAACCGACCTGGAGCTTGCAATCCTCCTGCCTCAGGCTCCTGAGGGCTAGGATTACAGACTTATACATATCATCATTTTAAACTGCCATTTTAAACTGACCCAATGCCTGCGCTTACTAAAATGATGCCCTCCCATTGGAAGATGGAAGGATACCCAACTCTTGTAGGTCATATTAATCATTTCTTGGGATCAGTCCTTAAAAAACCAGTCCTGGGAACTGCTTGACTGAGACCAGGATCCTCTGAAGTAAATGTTATTAAATCTGTCCCCTAGGGGAGCTGTACATTGGTCGTCCCCTACACCAGAGCCTGCCCATCTTTGGCTCCAGGTTATCCCACGGGTTATCCCATTCCTACTGTTTTTCTCGGTCAATCACACTGCTTTGGTTTGCTGTAGGATGTCCCTTTGGTCCCATGTCACCTCTTCAGGTTTGTGGGTAACCCCAAATTCAGCTTAACAGTAGCTGACCCTGGAACTGAGTCTCTAGTTCTGTAGGGGCAGCCTACCATGGACTAACGCGAGAAAGAACAAACCCCTGTCTCCTCCAGCAGCCAGTCCCCACACCAGGATGGTGACAGGAGTGCTTCTTGTAATAAATTTGTTCTCAACTTGCTCTGTGACCTTGAGCCAATGTCTTCCCGGTCTGGGTTTCAAGTTCTCCAGATGCAAAGTGTCAAGAGGAATAGATCTCAGGGGTGAAGTACAGTCATAAAATTCAGTGTCTGGGTTGGGGCTATAGCTTTCTCAGTAGAGGAGGACTTGCTTAGCATACACGAGGTCCTGGGTTTTATCCCCAGCACTTGCATTAGTCAGGTGTGGTGGTGCATGCCTATAATCCCCGCTGTTGGGAAATGTAGTGAATTCAAGGCCATCCTCTGCTACATAGCAAGTTTGAAGCCAGCCTAGGCTGCATGTCTCAAAACAAAGCACACACACACACACACACACACACACACACACACCCCAGTCCTGTTATGTAAGCCTCGGTATAATTATCATGTGCTGCTGTCTCTTTAGAAACACAGATAGGGGACTCAGTGAGATGGGGAAATGCTGTGGCTCTATTGCATAAAGGATGATGCAGCCCTCAAAGCCTGGGTCCCCGGACCAGCACACCAGGATCCTAGAACTCTCAGTCCCCTCCTGGAGTCCTTGAATCGTGTCATCTGGGCCTGAGATCCAGGGATGTGTGTTTTCATCCACCCTCCTCCAACATGAGGGCATTGCTTTAAGTTAGCTGGAGCCCATTTCCAAGAGGGTCATCATCACCAATCCATCAGGTATCGGCATCATCACAGAGAGCAGTGAGTGCGTGCGGGTGGCCCTGGAGTCTTTGCCCACAGGTCCGTGGTACCCATCCCCACAGAGGGTTTCTGGAACCTTGTTTTGTGAGGCTCATTGTGTGCTTGTGTCTCTTGGGGACCTTAGCACCATGGCACCCCAAGAATCCCCATCTCTGCACAGGCTTCCTCTTACCCCAGGTGATCCTCATGTGTAGTGGAGGCTGCAAACTCATGTAAACAGTTTCCTTGCCAGCGGGAGATTGGCTTCCATTCTCCCTTCCTTTCTGATGGAGGGTGCAAACCCCCCCCCACCCCCGCTGCGTGGCAGCTGTCTACAGACTCAGATCTACACACGAACCCTTCCCAGTGCATCAAACCCTCGCCATGGCCACTTGACAAATGGGGAAACTGAGGCCCAGAGGAGCCAGTGAGCTTCCCACTGTTCACTGTGAGATCTTTTGCAGAACAGTCTCCTGTGACAACTGCTCTTTTTTCTCCCAAGCTGGGCAGCCCGGGGCTCTCACCCCTTCCCCTCGCAAGCAGCTCTCGCAAGAGTCATTCTGCGGTTTCGATTCTTCTTCTGCGACAGCATTTTGCATTTTCTCCTAAATTCCTTCCAGCTGTCAGGTAGGAGAGCACTGATAAGGATTTCCCCAGCGTGGGGGAGAAACATTTACCAGAGGTAGCCAGGCGCGCCAGACCCCTCCCCGACACTCCGCTAGCATATGGAATATATTGTGGTCGGAGGGAAATATATTTTAAGAATTTCTTCTGCATCTTTTCAGATGCATTCCACCAAGGATTACCACAGGTGTCAGGAAAAGGGGGCTTTCGCTCCTTCCTCACGAGGAGGGGGGTGGACTTTGCAGGCAAAGCCAGACAAGCCTCAGCTCCCAGCTAGAGGAGGCACTAAGGGCCCACGTTCTCCAGATTCCCCCAAGGTTCTGTCTTCCCTAGTGGGATGTTCGAGACTCTGCTGAACCTTTACCAAGAGTTCTGTTTAGCAATATCCTTCCACACAGTCCCCTGAATATATATGGTTCCCTTCTCATCTGTTATGTGTTCATTTCAATCGGTGCATGTGCACATGCAAGTATATTCATGTGTGTGTTCATGTCTATGTCCACATCCATGTAAAGGTCAGAGGCCAACCTCAAGAGCCAGTGTCCCATGGCCATCCACCTTGCTTTCTGAGGTGAGTCTCTCCCTAGCCTGGAACTCGTCAAGGAGACCAGGCTGCCTGTGAGGACCCACCTGCCTCCATCTTCCCAATGTGCAACAGCAAACCTCTGATTTTGTTTGTTTGTTTGTTTGTTTGTTTTTTAAGATTTATTTATTTATTATGTATACAGAAGAGGGTGTCAGATCTCATTACAGATGGTTGTGAGCCACCATGTGGTTGCTGGGAATTGAACTCAGGACCTCTGGAAGAGCAGTCAGTGCTCTTAACCACTGAGCCACCTCTCCAGCCCCCTATTGAACCTACTTTTAAAGAGCAACAACTTGTTTTAAATTGCCATGGATTTTAGTTTATTAATACAAATTTAAAGTTAATTTTGTTATACTGTATGTATATTTCTACTCTT